GATTAGTGGGACAGCACAGCACTTGTCTAGTATGTGCAAGGCTCTGGGTTCAGTCCACAGCACACCAAGGAAACAAACAAACAAACAGAAAAACTTGACTGACACATAACTGAAATGGTGGTTAAAACTGGAAAAATTATGAAGAATTTTTTTGAGCACAGATTCCACCCGTTTCAGTGAGTTTTGCTTGCCAGTGAAGTATTCCTCTCTTGTGCTCTTTACCATCCAGCGCACTTAGCATCTGCTGCCCTAGGACCTTCAAAAATGTCTCCTGAACTTAAGTAGATAATTCTCCTCTGGTTCATTCTAGATAGTGAAGAATTCCAGAAAAAGTTGGTCCATCTTTGCTTAACAGATAAAGGCATTTGTATAAGAGATGAGCTGACGCACAGTGCACGAAAACAACTTGGTTTGGGTTTCGTCCTTGAAGAGATTCCGATGAGCATTCTAGAATTTGAGAAAATTGAGTCTGACATTCTCTGGCACTTAAAAAAAGATAAATAAGAATAAATTCATAAAAAGGCTTGATGAAATCTAATATTCAGATTTTCTTCCAATTGCGTCTTTTGGGAAGACAGCAATGCCTACTGCATTATTTTTTCAATTTGAAAACTTCCAAAGGCAAGAGAAAAGCAAAATTATGAATAAGTCATACTTAAAATGACTTACTTTTTTTTCTGCCTGAAGAATGGGTAAATTCAATCTTGTAAATTCTTTGAATTTTTGAACTTCATTATCAAACATTTAAGACATTAAATGATTAGCTCTGGGGCTGTAAATGTGACTGATTTCCTCTAGCTCAGGAAGAAGCCAACCAGCTATTTTCATAGCTGACTTTTGCCTTATGAGAAACATGCCAACAATTTGGCCTTTGTTGGATTTAAGCTCCTGCTTTAAGAATACAGTGACATTTAAAAAAATCTAAAAACGAACAAGCAAAAGAACGTGAACATAGAAGAGGGAATTGCTGGGAAGAAGGGGTTCAGCAGGAGTAGGAAAGGCCTGAGAGAAAGTAATGGTGGTGAAAATGACTAAAATGCAGTACTATACACATGTATGAAATTGTCAAAGAAAAAAAAGTAAATTTAAAAAATACAGTGACACAATAACCAAATCGTGGAATCAGCCTAGGCACCCATCAAACAGCTAAACAGGTAAATAGAAGGTGGCGTAGATACACAGTGCATTATTCAGCCTTTAAGAATGAAGCCATGCCATTTGCAGGAGAGAGAGAAAGAGAGAGAGAGAGAGAGAGAGAGAGAGAGAGACAGACAGACAGACAGACAGACAGACAGAGAGACAGAGAGAGGGACAGAGAGACAGAGACAGAGACAGAGACAGAGAGACAGAGAGAGAGAGAATACACGGAGACAGACACACAGACACACACGAGGCACTGGAACGATTTCATATCAGTAAGAAGCCTCTGAATTTAGGCTGAAAATAAGTTGTGTCTCCATGTCCTAGAATTATGTGCAACGTTGTTACTGAAATGAGAGCCCACCCATTGGCTCCTGACCTGGTTTTGCTCTAGATCCCCTGAAGAATATACTACTATAATCATCTAGGCTAGTAACATAGCCTTCCCTTCCAAGTTCTCAAAAAAAAAAAAAAAAAAAAAAAAAGATTCTTTCCCCTCCCAGAGGGATAAATCAAAAATGTCAGGAAAAATCAGCAGAAGAAGCATACAGTTGAGAATTACTGCTAGTTAGCACTGCTACTCAGCACTTAGCTCCCAGCTATAGACGATGCTCCACAAGTGTGTGCTGAATGCCTGATCTTCCGTCTCCATGCTCAGTGTCCATGACACCCTGAAAAGCAGCATCTGCAAGCAAGTCCTTCCAGCCTTGATAGTGTTCTGTTTAGATGAACAACCTGCTGCCTAACCCCAAGCCAAGGTGCAAACCTACAAAAACAAAACCAGGAGCAACTTGTTTCTCTTTTGCTCTGGTGCTAATTTGGTAGAAAGCCAGCATAATCTAATTGCAAACGAGACAAACAACCTCAAAAGAAGTTCTTACAAATAAGGAGACATATCGGACATGGCTTTTTAAAAAATTTTTCTTTCCCATCTTTTCTTGATTTTTCTTCTTCCAATCGCAGCATGGTGTTGAAGAAACTGCAACCCAATGCCGGAAACTAGGGGCCACTGTGCATGTGTTTGTGGTAGACTGCAGTAACCGGACAGCGATTTACAGTGCTGTGGATCAGGTGAGAAGCAGGGGCAGATGGCTTTGTTTCTGTTGCCAATAAACTGAGAAGTGAAAAGCTTTTCTATGGTGGTTTCAGGTAGATTGATCCACTCAGTGGAGTAGCTATGTGACCAAAGGAAGACTATATAGAATTTTCTTTGTATGTGTAATCCACTCAGCTCCGATAACTGTTAACTGTCTCATATTATTAAATCTGTTCTGATCAGAAGTTTGAGATGTGGCTCAGAGAAAAGGACAGTGGAAAAATTGATTCCTTTCTAGATTTTTTTTTACATTTTTATTACATTTTATTTATGGGGAGTAGTTTGTGCCACGGTATGTATGTAGAGATCAGAGGGAAACTTGGGGCCCTTGCCTACTCCTTCCACCATGTGGGTCCCAAGAATCAAGCTCAGGTCATCAGGCTTGGTGGCAGGCACCTTACCAACTGAGCCATCTCATTGGCCCCTCTAAATTTTTTGTCCTATTGCTTTTGTAGTAATGTTTTTCTTTATTTCCTCCGTAAGACTTTAAAGCTTTCATGGAAAATGTACAATTAATAAAAAGTATAACTTTTTTATCATTTTAGTGTGTGTGTGTGTGTGTGTGTGTGTGTGTGTATGCAATTACCATTCTGTATGTGGAGATCAGAAGACAGTTTTTGGGAGTTGGTTCTTTCCTTCCACATGTGGGTCCCAGTGATTGAATTCAGGTTGTCAGTCTTGTCAGAAAGCACCGTTACTCACTGAGCATCCTTGCCAGCCCAGTATAATAATTTTTAAAGGAGGAAATATCAGGTGTTCACGATGAACTAAACACTCTAATAAGCTACTGCATTATTTAATCTAATTCAGTAATCCCCTGAGATTCACTTTATAGTTGAGCAAACTAAATCTCAAAATGTTTAAAGCAACAAAGATTATGTGACCAGGAGGTGATAGAATCAAGATTAATTACTTAGAGCTTTTTTAAAAAATTGGGGGGCTGGAGAAATGGCTCAGCAATTGAGAACACTGACTGTTCTTACAGGAGACCTCAGTTCGAATCCCAGCACCCACATGGAAGCTAACAACTGTCTGTTACTCCAGTTCCAGGGGATCCAACAGCTTCTTCTGTCCTCCGTGGGCATTGCACAACATGGGTGCATTTACCTAAATGTGCATAACACTCATACACATAAAATAAAAATAAATAAAATATTTTTTAAAAGTTGGCCAGAAAGTATATATCAATTTTCAGCACAATTTTTTTTTTGTCCTTTTTGAGACAGGGTCTGCTTCAGCTGGCCTGGAATTCACTATGTAGGCCAGGCTGGCCTTGAACTCACAAAGATACACCTCCCGAGTACTGGGATTATAGGCATGCACCACCATGCCTGTCTTTTCAACACAAATTTTAATTTTACTTTATTTATAAGCTTTCACACTACTATGAAAAACTGGGTACTAAAATTTGGATGTTAAACAAAACAATGTAGGTCACCTTAATGACACTTTTCCTTTTGGATTCACTATTTAAGCTAGAAACTCTTTCATGAATTCTAAGGTATCTCATGCAGTAGAATCCAAATCTAATCCCTTGGGCTGGAAAGATGGCTCGTTAAGAGCACTGGCTACCCTGGCAGAAGTTGGTTTCCAGCACCCATGTGGTTCAAAACCATCTATAACTCCAATTCTAGGAAACATGACAACCCCTTCTGGTCTCTATGAGCACCAGGCATGCATATGATATACATAGATAGATGTAGATGCTCACACATACAAATAAAATAAAAACAAATAAATCTTTTTAAAAAGCTAACGGGGGTGGGGAATTGGGTATTCTTGCAGAAGACCCAGGTTTGAATCCCAGCACCCACATAGCAGCTAACAATTTAACTCCAGTTTGAGAGGATCAAACCCCCTCTTCTGTCCTTCATGGGTACTGCATGACACAGGTGCACTTACACACATGCAGACATAATAGTCATATACATAATAAAAATAAATAAATAAAAATTTTAAATCCAATCTGGAACCTCAGAGATGGCTCAGTGGTTCAGAGCACTGACTGCTCATGCAGAGGACCTGGGTTCTGTTCCTAGCACCCACATGGTAGCTAACACCCATCCATAACTCCAGTGCCAGGGGATCTTACACCCTCTTCTGGCTTCTACAGGCATCAGGCACACATGTGGTACTTGCATGCATGCAGGCAAAACACTCATATGCATGAAAAAAAGTAAAGTCTTTTTAAAAAAATCTAATTTTTGGATGGCATTATAACTAAAATTCAGTTCATGTTGCCATTTTCAGAAACCAATGAGCAGAGAGAAGAACTGGATCTTAAAACTGCCCTCATTCAGAGAGGCAGCAAACTGAGAACACGGTGTGTTAATACCTGAGAGATCTGACTTATATCTCATCTTCAGCCAGAAGATTATATAGAGTGGAGCTAGAGGAGAGCAAAACCATGACTGTCGGCCATTCTGGAGCTCAGTCTTGCTCCGCTGGCCACAGCTTCGAGTCTTGAGATGTCTGTGTTTCTCTTGTTAATATCCCTTACATGCTTCCCTCATTCTGTGGATGTTTGGGCTCAAGCACTTCTTGAAATGCTGAGTCAAGTTAATTTCTGCTAGTACCAACCTTGTACCAACCCCCAGGGGCATCTTGACTTGGGGCTGGTATGGGCAGGGGGAGCCAGGGGGTTAACTCAAAACAAACAATGAACAATATGTACACGGCAACTTAGTAATAACACATATGTGCTGATTGCTTTTTACAACATGGAGTACATCTTTACAATACAGAATATGAAAGCCCCCCTCTCCATCCCTTCTGTCCTCTATCAGTATCAGTCCCACATCTTTAATTAACACACCCCATGAATGTCTTCTCTCCATTTTAAAAGGTTAAGAAAGAAGTGGGTGATGTAGCCATCGTGGTAAACAATGCTGGGGTCATATATCCAGCTGATCTTCTTAGTACCAAGGATGAAGAGATTACCAGAACCTTTAAAGTCAACATCCTAGGACACTTTTGGGTGAGTGGGAGCCAGAAACACTCCTGGTTTGTGTGTGTCTGGTTTCTCTTCAGTATAAGAACCTCATAATTGAGCTCATAATAGTTCTAAGTGGAAAACTGGAAAGATCTTTTTCTTAAGTCAGAAAACATTGACTTTGTTTGAGAAGAGCCACAGAGTCTCTGACAGAAGGACATGCGGTTTAAGTGATCACAGCACACTGGAATGAAAGACTCTTGTTTTATTAAGTAGCATCTAACACGAAGCCTGGCATGTACCAGGTCTTCAACAAATATTTGTGGAGGTTTGCTAAGAATTGGCTGGGGACATACATTCAGTGTTTCAGGGAAATATATACAGTGTATATTCACTTGTGACCTCCTTTCACAGAAGTTTAGAACTGAAAGGACATCAGCAATAACTATCCAGATTTGTGCAGAGGTGGGGCACTTTGGATGAGACTCCAAGATAAATGCTCTAGGCATGTCCAACCTTCTGACATTTTGACACAATAGTCTCATCCACAAAGTTCATGCTTTAGAACTGAGCAATTGAGCTACAAAAATATTTCATAACGTTTTGAGTAATTCTGGGATGCATTCATAGCTATTCTTGGCCACCTGCAGCCTGTGGTTTGGAATGCCTGTTAGACCCATGGGATGTCAGAACTTAGAAAGATGGCACAGGAAACTTCTTATAATTGGTTAGTTTTTATGAGCGATTGAAGTATGAATTTGAAAGGTCTTTGTAGAGAGCATCTATTAATTCTTTAGGGTCTCAATATAGCACAGAGTTAGGGCAAATCTTGGAAAATCTGGCCTAGCCTTTCACACATCTCAATGTGCATTGGCAATGTGTCCCTCAGACTACACAGAGACCCTTTATAATAATTATCTAATACCTAATGACAAAGTGCATAAAATTATAACTGCATAATAAATTGTATCAAAACATACGGGGCTTAAAGCAACCATGAATGTTCAATTATTCCTTCACAGGTTCTGTGCACAAGAACTGGCAGGTAGGTTGGTTTGGCTGTTTGAGCTCTAAGAATTCTTACAAAACATTAAAGCGTCTTGGAGAAATTTTTTGTTTCTCATAATGTGAATATGTAATGCAAAATATTACAAGGAGGAGATGAACCTACGCACAAAGCGTAGTAGTTTCAGGTCAGTATAGAAATCAGTTATCTACTCCATTGCCATGATATAAGTATTTAGTTCTTCTAACTGAATCAATCAAAGCACAAACCAACAACCTGTATAATGCCAACTTATCCTTCAATTCTGGCAACTCTGAATCTCTCCCTTAATATCATTCACAAGAGGCTGGAGAGATGGCTCAAGGGTTAAGAGCGCTCTTTGGCTGTTCTTCCAGAGGAAACAAAGTTCTGTTCCCAGCACCCACATGGTAGCTAACAATCATCTGTAACTCCAGTTCCAGGGGAATTCCACAACCTCTCTAACCTCTACCAGCACTGTACAACACAAGTGCACTTACACACATGCAGGTAATATTCTCATATGCATAAAATAAATATAATAAAATATTTTTTAAAAACTAATAATGATAATGAAAATAATATTGCTTAGATAGTATATCCAGGAAGGAGCTATCTAATTCCTCCTGAAGGGAAGAAGGGGAGAACATTAAGACTAGTTCTTGGCATCATGTACATAGGACACAGCACTCAATGCTGGCTCAAACTCTTACATATTTACTCTTCATTTCTATCGTTGTGTAGAAGTAACCACAGAATCCTGCAAGTATTTCATTTCATTTCAAATATCCTTCTATCTTAACAAAAATAAAATGACCTAATGCCTGTGTCATTGTTTCTCTCCTTTTTAAATGGACCTTAAGATCATCAAAGCACTTCTTCCATCAATGATAAGAAGAAATTATGGCCACATTGTCACAGTGGCTTCCGTGTGTGGCCACGAAGTGATTCCTTACTTCATCCCATATTGGTGAGCCTTACTTGCCAGCAGTGCTGTGCATTTTTGCCCTTCTAAGTGATTGCTATACTTCAGACTTCAATGCTTACAGCATGGTAATTTGGACTTACAGAATTTCTATAGTATCTTAGGATACTTTTTTTTTGGTCTTTTTGAAACAGGGTCTCTCTGTAGCCCCAGCTGTCCTGGAACTCACTATGTAGACCAGGCTGGCCTTGAACTCACAGAGATCCGCCTGCCTCTGCCTCCAGAGTGCTGGGATTAAAGGCCTGTACCACCACGCCCGCTACTTTTTAATTGACTTCTAAACAATGAAATTGGCTCTCATATTATTTAAAATATTTTTAGACTTCTAAAAACTGCCCCAAAGAGCACTGTAAGAAGACAGTAATGCCCAGTATGCTTCCATTATATCTGGGAATGAATAGATGTTGACAAAAGAAGTAAGAAACACAACAGGCTAAGAAGGAAAACAATGAATGGACCTCTATTATCCTGGGTGCATGAACGTGTGTGAGAAAGAAAGAGCAAGCACGGCTCCCTGATTACAAGATGCAGATGCTATATATCATGCCCTACTGAGGACATTAAGGGAAGAGACTGGAGACCCGCAAATGGACTATTTCAAAGCACCCTTCCTTGTGAACTCTTCTAGTGGCATCTTATTTCCCTACTTTTGCCATAGAATAATCTCAGAAAAATTTTTGCCAAGATTATCACACACACACACACACACACACACACACACACACAGTTTCAAGCTGCCTCTATCATCTTTTTTAAAATATATGTGCATGAGTGTATTGCCTGCATATATATAAGTATACCCATGTTGTCCAATGCCCACGGAGGTCAGAAGAGTGCATTGGATCCCCTAGAACTGGAGTTATGAACAGTTGTTAGCCTCCATGTGGGTGCTGGGGACCGAACCTAGGTCCTCTGCAAGAGCAGCTAGAGCTCTTAATTGCTGAGTCATATCTTCAGCCCCTGCCTCTGTCATCTTAAAACACAAATACAAATTTCACAGATTAAACAATTGCAATTGTCTTAATGTTTAGAAATGTAGAAACTCAATATAATATTAGTTTTCCTTCTCTACCCTTCTTCCTTAAAAAAAAATCAGCTTTTACATTTTTGTTTGTCACCTACATAAAAATTCAATTAACACTTGTATAGATCCTTATAGATAAGTTATTACACATAAACACTATTTGACTGAATCCTCAGGTACCCCCATATTTTATCATCTGCATTTTAAAGCAGAACAAAGAATCTTGCATTAAAGATTATGCAAACACACACACACACCAACACCATCTTTTAACTCCAAATTCTCATGATGAAATTAAGAGCCCAGTGAGGTCACCAGTATCAAAGAGAAGTGAACAAGAGAAGAGGCTTGTGCACCATCCACACACATTTGTCCATACAGATTTCAGTTTTATAGTGTCTTAAATATTTTTTCCTGAATCATATTTTTTTTGTCTTTTTTTTTTTTTTTTTTTTTTTTTTTTTTTTTTTATTGAGACAGGGTCTCCTTGTAGCCCCAGCTGTCCTGGAACTCACAAAGATCCTGCCTCTGCCTCCCAAGTGCTGGGATTAAAGGCATGTACCACGTACGCACGGCCCCCTGAATCATATTTTTTTAGATAAAAAGAACAGTAAGAACTGAAACATTTGGAGGATTGATGGCATTAAAGAGGAAAACTTACATGAGTGGAAAACACTAAGCCAGTCTATAAAGTGATTCTTTTGCTATCCTTGCTAGTTAAGAAATTAGGAATACAGAGGCTGGAGAGATGGCTCAGGGGTTAAGAGCACTGGCTGCTCTTGCAGAGGACCTGGGTTTGATTCCCAGCACCCACATGGTGGCTAGCAACCATCTGTAACGCCAGTTCCAGGGGATCCAACTCCCTCTTCTGACCTCCTCAGGCATTGCACGACATGGGTTCACCTACCTACATGCAAGCAATATATTCATAAACATAAAATAAAATAAAATATTTTTTAAAAAAGAAATTAGGAATACAGCCACGTGTGGTAGCACATGCCTTAAAATCCAGCACACTGGAAGCAGAGACAGGCAGATTTCTGTGAGTTGGAGGCCAGTCTGGTTCACATAGGGAGTTGCAGACCATATAGTGCTTTATTGTGAGACCCTGTCTCAAATAAGTAAATCAATAAATTAATCAACCAATCAATAACAGATCTCAGATCTGAAGGTGCAGAAATGGCTGAATATGTGTTTAGCATGTGCAGAGTCCTGGGTTCCATCTGAAAAAGAAAAGAAGTTGCTGGGCATGTTCAAAATTCTGCTTTATCATAGAAGAAAATGAAAATGAACGCCCATTTAATCTCAGAAAAATCACAAGTAGCAGATTTGGGGTCTTCTTGTTCTAAAACAAACAATCCTGTCTTCCTACAGAAAGCTGAGAGGTTGTTTCACTGCCTTTAGGTAACAGTGGCTCATGATTTTCTCTCACAGTTCAAGCAAATTTGCGGCTGTTGGCTTCCACAGAGCTCTGACGGCAGAACTTGAAGCCTTGGGGAAAACTGGTATCCAAACCTCGTGTCTCTGCCCAGTGTTTGTGAATACCGGATTCACCAAAAACCCCAGCACAAGGTGAGGTCAAAATCAGCTGTGTTATCCCTGATAGTGGAGCCACTCACTGCCAATGGAGTCGTGATTAGGCCATAGGTACTTCGTAAGTATGCTACATTGAGTAAATCCTGTGGTGCCATCACAACCCCCAGCTGCTTTCTTACACAGATAGGTAAGCGCTCAGCTTAGAGTATAACATGCTCTGTCAGGAATGCCCCATGCGCTCTTGGGAAAGACACAGTCCAAAAGTAAACACACTGTTAGTCTGGTGGTGGGGAGCCTGGGAGCAACCAAAGGTGCGGACACAGCAACGCCCAAGATTTAGGAATATTCTCACCCAGGCTGCTGGATTCTGAACTAGGGCTGAAGTGTTCAAGTCAGCCTTAGCTCTAAGACTGATTCTAATGTGTAATTAGGAAGCGAAAAGACAGAACCCCAGTTAATTTTGAAAGTATTGATTTGTTTAGTGTTGACTTACTACTCAGCACTATGGAATCCTAGTCACACAATAACCTGCAGAAAGCACAGAATAGCTCAGGGAATTAAGTTTTAACATTCATTAGCCACTCAGCCCAGGCCTAGACAATACTACTAACCTTGGTAGGACATTTTAATTCAATTTTATGCTTTAATTTTCTATTATCATATTGTACTAATGGACAAAATTCTCTACTAGGCATAGGTTGTGAGTAATTCTCAATAATACACGTATACAGCCTTTAGTCAAAGGAAGACCAGGCCTCCAGTTATAATGTAAAACTCCTTATAGGAATCTTAAATTCTCATTAAACTAGAAGATAAGTGAGTCAGAGACAAATCTTATGTACTAAATGCCCTCAAAACAATACAGCTTTGTGGAATACCTACACAAGGCAGGGAGTATACCTAGCCTTAGAATATTGTCCTTGCATCCAATAGGCCTTGAAATATCAGGCGTTTCCTTCCTGGTCCATGGTTAATCCTACTATCTTTTTGTGCTTTGGCTCCTCCCATTCCTTAAGATCTTGTGCCTTGCCATGATTTTATTATTTTGACCAGGTGAGCTAACACACATACCTATTTGAAAGTATAAGATTATGGTGAAAAATTATCAACATGGGATGTGGAAGAAGAGGGAGGTGGCATTTATGCAGTGAATCCTGAAACATGTTAAATCCTAATTCTAAATTTGATGACAATATAGGTCAGTTTTCCTGCCTTTGTTAATTTTAAAAAATTTTTTAATTTAGTGACTGGTGTTTTAACTCAGTGGTAAAGTACATACTTAGCAGGTACTAAGCTCTGGGTTTGGTTCTCAAGACCAAAATAAATAATTTTTTTTTTTTTCAGTCCTTTTGAGACAGGATCTCCCTGTAGCCCGAGGTGGCTGGGAGCTCTTTATGTAGATCAGGCTGGCCTTGAGCTCACAGAGCTCCACCTGCCTCCCAAGTGCTGGGACTAAAGGTGTGTGCCAACTCACTCGGCTATTAAATTACTAAATTTTAAGCAAGATGAACTCTTTTTCCCTTTTCATCAGGTTGTGGCCTGTGTTAGAGACAGACGAAGTTGCAAAGAGTCTGATAGATGGAATACTTACCAATAAGAAAATGATTTTTGTCCCATCATATATCAATATTTCTCTAATACTGGAAAAGTAAGTATATAGCACAAAACACCTCAAATACTAAAACACAAACAGAAATGTTGTTATGGACAGACTTTCAGCTGTGGAAGTTGCTATGGAAACTCTCCATCCCTGGAATGAACAATCGAGTTTCCTGGAGGGGTGGAGAGGGAGATTTCTTTCATCCCTGATTCCTTTTGTGGAATGCATCTGTCTCTGCCCAATTTTTGCTAAAGATTATTCAAATTGAAGGAAAGACAGTTTTAAAAGAACAGGATACAATGACATAGTTAATAAAGGCTTTATTTGTATGTGTCTGAGTGTGTGTCTGTTACGTGTGTTCATGTGTGTGTGGGTACTTGTGTGTCTAGAGATCCATGTGGAGGCCAGAAGTCAGCCTCAAGTGCTGTTCCTTGGGAACCATCCACCTTGAGTTTTTTGTGTTTCATTTTTGGTGTTTTGTGGTTTGGTTTTGTGTTTTTATTTTTGAGATAGGGTGTCTCACTGGCCTGGAGCTTGCCAATTAGGCTAGGCTAGGTGGCCAACAAGTCCCAGTGATCTGCCTGGCTCCTTCTCACCAACACTGGGAATCCAAGTGTGTACCACCATGCCTGGCTTTTTATGTAGGTTCTAGGGATTGAACTCATGCTTGTATAGCAATCACTTTACCAACTGCACCATCTCCCCCACACCTTAGGTAGTTAATTTTTGAAGTTCTTTGTAGCACTATGAATTTTCAATGTCTCACAATCCATTTCCAAATTATTTTAAATAACTTCATTTTTTAAATAACTTCATTTATACTCCAAGAACTTTACAACAGAATACGTTCTTCTTTCCCTTCCCAGGTTCTTGAGCCCCCAAACAGTAAAATCCCATGAAATTTATTTCCTACAGGACTCAAAACAGACCATATTGAAGTTGAAAGATTCCAAAATCAGACCAGGCTTGTGTATGACAAGCGTTAATGTACAAGGAAGAGCCCCAAGCCTTTGTGTCACTGGCCCTCAGGCAACTTGTTACTCAGCAATAGGGGCATTGTGCTGGTCTTCTTTACAATTAACTCCTTTTCCAGAGGGACAATTTTATGATCAGAGGCAATCACTAGCATGAAGCTTTTGTGTGAATAGTTAAAAAGCCTGCACAAGCTCTACTCTCACCCTTGTCTTTCTCAAAGCCAGATCTTCCCTGCCTCTTCGTGTGTTCCCCCTTCTTTCCTCCCCCTACCCCGTGGGCTGACAGGGAAGTAAATCTTGCATTAGTAAACAATACCAGAGTGATTTTAAAAATAACCTTTGAAGAACATGTTATTTCTGCCTCATTACATTCACCCATACTCTCTTCTTTAACATGTCTACTCAAAGCTTTCCCATTTTACATTCAGCCTATGTAAATTCTCCTCACAGTTACAGCCCTTAATTATAAATGGCTGACGTTTTTTAGTAATTAATTTCCATTTGGCCCTGTTAACCTCTCATGGAACCAATAAGCATAAAGGTGGTAGCTCTCTGTGGGCTCTTGGGCATCAGAATTCATTGACATTTTCAGTGGTAGACCCAGACCTTCAGTTTTCAATTCTTATTGATATAAGATCTCATACAATTGTACTGATTTGAAAGGGTGATGGAGTCTATATCAGCGAGGAGAGCGAGAGAGCGAGAGAGCAAGAAAGCAAGAGAGCGCAAGAGCGAGAGAGTGAGAGAGCGAGAGAGCGAGAGAGAGAGAGAGAGAAGAAATGAAAAATAGAGGACATGCGGTTGGGGATTTAGCTCAGTGGTAGAGCGCTTGCCTAGCAAGAGCAAGGACCTAGGTTCAGTGCTCAGCCCCCTCCCCCCCAAAAAAAAGAGGACAATTAAGTGCAGGTCAGTTCATCCACGCATTTAAAGATTAATAGCAAAAGAACACTGGTGTCAAATTTTTAAATTGAAATTTCTCATCTCTTTATAAACAGATTTCTTCCGGAACGTGCCTTGAAAGCTATAAGTCGTATACAGAATGTTCAGTTTGAAGCAATCGTGGGTCACAAAACCAAAATGAAGTGAGGTGTGTAGAGATGTATGCACATTAATGACATGAAGCTGTTTGCAATTGCTACTTTAATGTTTTCTTTTACATTTTTCAGTTCTCTTATTACTTAAAATGTAGTTTGGCTCTAGCAGCAATCAGATGAACGCGACTAATTAATTGTCTTTGTTTTCCAAGAATAGGAAACTGTGAGAAATAAATTCTAGTGCTAATAAATGACCCAGCTTGTGATATTTTATTATGGCAGCAAGAATATGCTAAAACAATGTCCATTAGGCAAAGGAGTGGAAAGACAGTGTATATTTTTATTTACTTATTTTTATTTAATGTGTATGAGTGTTCTGCCTGCATGTATTTAAGTTACATGCATGCAACATCCACAGAGGACAGAAGAGGGCATGAGATGCTCCTGGAACTCAAGTTATGGATGGGCCCTCTGCAAGAACAGCCAGTGTTCTTGACAGCTGAGCCACCTCTCTAGCCCCATAATCAGTGTACTTTTATAAAGTAAATTAGTAAATGAAGAAATGCTACGCTAAAGGGTAAGACGATTAAAAAAAATGTTGGACAAATGAAAAATTATAGTGATTTCTGTTTTGATGGGGGAAGGGTGGTATTGCTTTGAGTTTGTTCTTTGTGGATAAGAAGAAAATTTTGTCTTGTTTATCAAATGAATGAGAAAGGAATTTTTTTTTTCTTTTTTGGTCTTTCTGGGACAGGGTCTCCCAGCTGGCCTGGAACTCACTCTGTAGACCAGGCTGGCCTTGAACTCACAGAGATACACTCACCTCTGCCTTCTGAGTGCTGGGATTAAAGGCATGTGCCACCATGCCTGGCTAGGAATATTTTTTGCCTCATAATTTATTCTCACTGTTGTCCCACTAAATTTTCTCCTTCCTGCTCTGTTTGACCCGCTCTCACTCTCTTCAGGATCTTGTCCCTGGTGCTATTAAACAAACCACATAACATCTCTATCCTAATTTCTCATAGTTTATATCTTTGCAGGGGAGGTAAGACTTACAAAGAAGTGAACACCTGACACCAGGCACCCAGCTCTGCATGGCTCTGCCTGCCATTCACTTCCGCACCCACCCACAGTCTCCATTAGCTTTCGCCCAAGCATCGTGGGCCCACAGGCTCGTCCCAGGTCAGTAAACGCCCCCTCTCATGTCCACATGGGTGAGACACCGGGGCCATCTTTCTCTCCACGCCCGCCAGCCGTTCCCAGCTTCCATCCCAAGATGGTGCCCAGAAGCCCCTCCCTCCATGGCTAACTCTCCACAGTCAATTATCCACAGCAGGCCCTGCCTGTTGGAGGAACCAAGCCCCTGGGACACAAGTGTTCAGTTTTTTCTAATACCATGTAAATAAATAACAAAGCTATTTATCTCAGTGAACCAAATATTTACACAAGTCTGCAATTGTGAAATCTTAATACCTTGTTCTTTGCTTTAGAAAGTCCTTGAACGTATTTTTCTTTTTACTCTATTGGGCAATAACTGAAAAATATTAAACTATATATCTATTAACAGCAACATAATCTCCCCAAATAAATCCCAACATTAAGTGCAAAGAAGAAAAATTCCTGCTTTTCTGTGGTGTTCGTTTGTTTGGCTTTTGTATTTTGTTACAGGCGACTGAACTCATAGTCTTGCACAGGTTAAGAAGGTGCCCTACTTTTGACCTATACTCTCAGCTCTAAACTTCCGGTATTACTTCCATTCTTTTTTTTAATACTTTATGAGCGAAGCTCAAGGAATGCCCAGGAACAGGATAATGAGCTCTTCTGACCTTAAGTGTAGGCTGCTTCTTATAAGTTCAATGTTCATCTCTAAATATTTCACTATGACAACCTTCATCTCAGGACCCTCGCTCCTGTCAAAAATGCAGTTCCAGGGTCACCACTAGGGCGCGCATATCCCCAAGCCTTTTTTTTTTTTTTTCCCAAGACTTCATCTATATAAATCATTTGATTAAAGATGCATCACAGAGTGCCTAAGTCCTTGTACATGTGGTATCATGATTTATTGGCGATCATTTAGAATAATGGGAATATTTGTTATTGTCCAGTGAGTGCATGTAAAGATCCTTCTTGGCATCCACACAGGATCTTTCTTGTTTGGTCCTGGAATCATTTTTTTCTTTATTATCAATGAGCCATTCCTTGCAAATTTCACACTTTTGCAACAAGAAAGAGCAGTAACACTTTCCTTACAATGCCATATCTCTTTCAAGCATGTTTGTATTGAAATAATATGAATCATTCACCCTCTGCAATGGTCTTTAATATCACTTTCATCAGTAATTTGGACATTGAATTATACATTATTCTATGTGTATTTCCTGACTTCCACTGTCTTACAGATTATTACTAATTACATTTCTTTGATGATAATTACAAATTCAGCACTTATCCAGAGTATATAGGGAATCATGAATGATGGATTGGATTTGGGTTATATTAAATTTATTATTTCTAATTTTATAGCACAACTTAAGAAAAAATAACATATCTTCCAATATGATTCTTGAGCAATAAGATTCAAATCCAAGCTTAAAAAGACAAAACTGACATCAAAGCACAGAAGAAAAATAACACATTATAAAATGACATGTTAGTAAATAAAAATACTGCAACTTATGTATGCTATTTAATTTTATAATATATAGTCTTAAGATAAAACCACCTCAAACTTCAAATTGCTGTATTTATTCAATCCTCATAGTAATTTACAGAGCATACATTATGACCATGGGAAAAAAGTGAAAGCAATGTATTGTCATGTAGTTTTATTAAATACTTTCTGCCCTGTTTTATTCCAGAAAGAATCCCCAATCTCACAAAAGTATCTAACATTGTAAAATCAGAGTCATGACTTTTCACTCAGAACCAAATATTAGGAAAGAAATAATATTAAAATAACTATGCATCTAAGTATAATTGCCTTATGATCTAACAGTCCCATTTGCACAAAAGTGTGGGAAGCATAGAGCTGACCTCTGTGTTGACAGCAACACCATTCACAATAGCCCAAAGGTTAACAGCAACCCAAGTATCTATCAATGGACAAATGAATAAACAAAATGTGTTCTATACATATTACAGAATATTATCCAGCTTTAAAAGTAAAGAAATTTTGAAATGTACTACTACATGGATGAACTCTGAGGACTTGATGCAAACTGAAATAAGCCAGTCATAAAAAGATAAATATTGTTGGAACTGGGGAGACAACTCAGTCAGTAAAGCACAAGGACCTGAATTCAGTCCTCAGACCCCAGACAAAAACTCCAGGTGTGATGGTATACCCTTGTAATCTCATTGCTGGGGAGGTAGAGACAGGATGATCCCTGGGGTTCTCTGGCAGCTAGTGTAGTCTAATTGATGAGCTCCAGGCCTATGAGAGACCCTGTTTCAAAGAAGGTGGACAGTGGATGACAACATAGGTTGTCCTTTGACCTTCATACACACATCTGCACCCACATACCCTTGAACATGCACATATACACAGCAATATACACACACAGAAAAATGGCAAATATCTATTTTTCCATTTAGAGGCACATAGAGTTATCAACAACATAGAGACAGGAAACAGAATGGAGGCTGCCAGGGACTGAGGAGAGCTGAGAACAAGCAATTATTTAATAGACAGGGACACAGTTTAGGAAAATGACAAGGTTCTAGATAGACAGTGCTGGTAATTATACAATGGGAAAGTGTTTAACTCCACTGAATTGTTTATCTAAAGTTTAAAATTATGAACTTCATTATGTATATTTTACCATTTTTTTAAGATTTAACTTTTTAAAGGAAGGTCATAGCATCTTAATCACTCTCAATCTTAATGGCTACATGTAATAACTATATTTATTACTGCAGTTCATGATTACATAATTGGTCATTTCTACAAACCCCTATTTGTCACCTACTATGTCCCTGGAGCTATACTACATGGAAACTAATAATATAAAATATTTTTAAGGGGCTGGAGAGATGGCTCAGCAGTTAAGAACACTGACTGTTCTTGCAAGAGACCTGTGTTCGAATCCCAGCACCCACATAGCAGCTAACAACTGTCAGTAACTCCAGTTCCAGGGGCTCTGGCAGCCTCTTCTGTCCTCTGAGGGCATTGCATGACACAGGTGCACTTACTTACATGCAGGCATAACACTCATACACATAAAATAAAAATAATAAATAAAATATTTTTTAAAATATTTTAAAAATATCCACTGAAGGCCAGGTATGGTGACACACACCTTTAATCCCAGCACTTGGGAGGCAGAGGCAGGTGGATCTTTGTGAGTTCGAGGCCAGCCTGGTCTACATAGTGAGTTCCAGAACAGCTGGGGCTACAGGGAGACCCTGTCTCAAAAAGACAATATATATATATATATATCCATTGGAAATCATAATCTCTGTTGACTAGTTTGATATAAAGTTACAGACAAGCAACTGCAAAGTTTCAATACCTTGTCCAAGTCCAGACAGCAAGAGAGCAAATGGTGGAGCAGATAGACCAGATCCAGCATGTATACTCTTAATTGTCAGACTCCATGGCCCCTCATGTGAGAGGATTTTATTATTCAGCTCCTTCCAGTTTTTCCCTGACTGCTCTGGTTGATTACCCCTGCCTCTTCAACGGGGTCATCTCCTCTAACCTGCTCCTTAGACACTGCTGTTCTTTGTGGTTCCAGTGAAAAGGCATAGGGCCAGCAGAATTCCAAGATGGCTCCCAGCTTCTTTCCCTGTTGTTCATTCCCTGCATAATCCTTGTGACTGAGCATGATGAATTTTACCCTGAGATGAGGTTATATCATGTGACAGAGTTCACTTTAAGAAAAGGACATTATCTTTGTGAGCTTAATCAAAACGCATGAAGTTTTGAAAGAAAAGTATATTTTCAGATTGATCTTAGGAGAGACAGTCTTAGAGGCACAGTGGGATGGCCTGGAAGAAAGTAAACATTCATTCATTTTGAGAACTGTGGAGATGCACGGCCTCAAGGTGTTGCACAGTTTTTGGTCCACAACTGTCAGGGAAACAGGGATATCAGTCCCACAACTCCAAGGAAATTAGTGCCCCATCTGTGAGGAATTGGTGAGGCCATGGCCATTGTGATGTTAGGTGTCCTCCTCTTTTTGGCATTGGGTGAGGATGTTACATCCTTTCCTTGGGTTGTTATGCTTAATAAATTCTTGGGCCTGGTTTTTTGG